GCTATTCATCAATCAAATAAGAGTGATTACAATTTTAATCTACTATTCTGCACCGACTGGGCTAATGCAAAGAAAGGCATACGCCAGACATTGTGATACGAGGCAATATGTCAGGCCCTCTGTTCTACACCTCTGACAAGGGGAACCACACCTGAAAATCCCGATGAACTTTTGTTGGGTAACCCAAGAATCAAACACAGTTAGGAAGTCAACATCTTACTCACTAAGCCACCGTGGCTCTCGGAACAGATAAAGAAGGTGTGGCAATGAAAAAAGCTTCCCTCAATCAACAAATTGAAAAAATCGCTCCCCTAAAAATCTCTCCCAGTTACAACTAACTCACAAACACACAAAATGCTATTAAAGCACTCCTCTACAAAATATTTTTCGGAGAATGTCTTTAATTAAGAAAACAAAACAAATATACATACATGTACATGTATCAATGATACAATATCAATACATTGTATATCAATAACACAAAAATGAATATAAACTTCCGTCAAACAGAGGCCCATAACAAAATGGGGTTTAACGCCGTACTGTTCTGCTCCCACTGGGCTACTAAAAACGGGATGCGCCATACAGTGTGCTATGAGGGAAATTTGCCTGGGCAGCAGTCTATGGCCTAATCTTATATCAAATTCCAACTGCCACTGGATCTTTTACGTGCATTCCAATTTCCTTTAGAGAATCAGTCATAATATTGTCATTCCCTCAAATGACAATCTTAAAGGAGCTAAATTGCTATTCTTGGGCACCTAGAAATTGACACAAATGGATCACAACGCATATATCAATGTAATCTGAATGTATATAAACTGATGTACATTCAATCTTTTCTATTTTTACAGTAATTTTAATCGGTTATGGTCAGCGAAATATGGGAAGAGTTCAAATCAAACGGCAGTCTATGGTGTCTGATTATTCCAGTCTACACCGGCGGTATTCTCCTGTGGGATACATGTATGTTTAGCGTCCTTCATTACAAATGGCGCTCGAAAGCATTCTGGCACGCAATTAGTGTGCCAATTTTAAAATTTTCATTTTGTCTTGAATATTGGATATCAGCCCATCTTTTCTCGGTAAGATAACAATATCAATGTTGATTTAAATTGACCAATAAGTTGTGAGTGATTGCAATGTCGAAGACTGTGGATGATACTGAGTTAAAGACTTCCTCCTTTAAGATTTTAAATGTATTGTAATGTGAAGTCTACTCTATATAGTATTGTGAGACTGTTACTAAACTTATTTCTTGTTTGCCAGTAATTCAAAAATCTCTAAAATGATGATCTTAAGACTTTAAACATCTAGTATTCTTCTACCATGTAATTTAGTTTGTTTTTTTATTAAACATAGTTTATTGTACTAGAACATACATACAGTACAAAAGGATTGGGACAAAAGTTATAAAAACGTACTGATGCCCTCTCCACATACATTGTATTTGACAATTGTAATAGTACAATAATTGTTAAGAACAACAAAAATGTAAGATATACTCGTAAATGTTATAATACATGTAAATAGTTGAAAATTCCATTACGAGAGAGAGAGAGAGAGAGAGAGAGAGAGAGAAAAGGGGTGTAACCGTTTAACGTCCACTCGACACAAACTATGTCATTTCGGACAAACATATGTTGAATTTTATTTCAATAATTTGCTTGCGCATAGGGGTCTTTATCAGTGGGAGGAAACCGGAGGACCCGGAGAAAACCACGAAGATGGACAGGTTACCCTGCTCCTTGTCACATAGAACCAGGGAATCGAAACCACACCAGTTGACTCAATGAAAGACTGTATGATACAACGCGCACACACGCTAACCATTCAGCCATCCAACCCCCCTAAAAATCCCATTTATGTAAAATTCTTAAATATTGGATTTATGAAAGTAATTCAAAGAATCTCACTGACAGATTTGTTTTGAAATTCAACATTAGTATCTCACCCATAGGAATAAATATTGAGATCGAAATTTGCAATTTTGTGACAGGTTTAGTTACCAAACTCCAAAGTCACACGACAATGAGTGAATTTAAATTGATTGTAATCTACCATGTAGTTTTGTCAGTGTTACGAGACTCACCTGTCAAACGAATGTTAATATCGAGACTCACCTGTCAAGCGAATCTTAATATCAGTAGTTATTTGGTGTTTATCATTCTGATGCTTCCTATCACAGATATATAGATGTTTATATAGTATATAGTTAAGTGTGTGTATATACATAGTTTATTTACCTGTATAAGTAATGTATGTAGGCCATGCAGACAGGTACATGATGGCTCTATAGGTCAAAGGTTACTAGGATCTACTGTGTACTTGTACATGCAAATACTCACAAACAAAAAAAAGTTCATTTCATACTTTCTTTCTTTCCTTTTAACAGACTCTCTTCCTCTCTCTCCCTTGTTAAGTAGACCTCAAACTGACAGTCTCTCTCTCTCTCTCTCTCTCTCTCCATCTACATGTATGTTGATGTATTTACAAGTTTTTTAATGGATCAAAAGATTGAAGTAAAAAAAAAATGAATAAAATTGAATCTTATAGGCTTAGCTATTTTTTTAAATGGCTAAAAAAGAATATGATTCTTTTGAACATTTTCTGTCTATACAAATAAATACTCCAAAAAATAATTATTGCATGTTCTTTTGCTCTTTCTCTCTCTCAAATCTACATGTATGTTGATATATTTTCATGGTGTTTAACCCATTAAGCGTGACGTTTTTAAAACGTTAACTACCCCCTATTGTGTAATTAATTTGATGAAGTGACGAAGAACTATGTACTATGTTCTAAGAATAGGTTGGGGAAAATACCTCCAAGGCGTTATATTACGCCCTACACACAGTGAGTGGCAGTTGTCCAGGACTGTACATGTATATAACGACCTACGCACTTAACGGGTTAATGCATCAAGCGACAAATGTCAAAAAAGAAAGAATAAAATAGAATTTAATACATTTAGCACTATATATATATTTTGAGAGAGAGAGAGAGAGAGAGACAGACATGGGGTTTAACATTCACTCGGCACAAACTAGTCAGGACTAACACATGCTTTAATTTTATTTCAATAATTCACTTGCGTGAAGCCAGGGGTCTTCATCAATGGGAGGAAACTGGAGGAAACCCACGAGGCTAGACAGGCAGCCCTACTCCTCAAGTACAAGCGGGGAAGCGAAAAAAAAACACCACCTGACTATACATGTATGTCTGCTGTCTAAGATGCTCTTTAGATAAAAGATGGAAAATGTTGATAAAGAAGTTAATACAATATGTGTACATGTATGTTGTAGTTTTTGTTTTTTTAATTTTGTTTTATGATAAAAAGGGGGAAGCTTAACTTGTTTGGTTTACATGTAGGTGAAAATAAATTATTGAATTGGGTGGATCTGACGTGATAAACTCTTTTTAGGGCTACAATTAAATTTTTGTTCAAGTCTGCTTGTTTATTAATCTAAGTTTGAATTTCAGTATAAAGATGCATTATGTACATATAAGAGAAATCTGCCTATTTGAGGTCTTTATTTTGGCTTCAACTATTATACAAATTTTCATTAATTTAGACATTTATTAACATGACAACTAAATCTGCCTATATTGGAGGTCTTTATTTTGGCTTCAACTATCATACAAATTACCATTTAGACATTTATTAACATGACAAGCCTGTAATAATCTCTCTAGACCATCAGGCGACAGAGATTTAAATGGATATGAACACAAAAGTGATTTTAAAAATCTAAAGACAATTATCTACACTACAACTTCAAACGGTGATAGCCTCCCATTTTTGTGTCTCAATATCTCATTGTTGTTGAAGATTTTGTCTTACTCATTGGTTTTAATCTTAAAGGGACTATCCCGATTTGAACAGGGTCTCAAAAATAAAAGTCTGAGTACGTATGAAATTTAAGGACCAAAATATAGAGGAATGATATAATTACCCTTCTCAAAATTTCAGCTCAAAATATTGAGTCGTTTGGACGTGACCGTCAAAACTGTTAATCCGGAAACGTAACCCTTTTAAGATTTCGGGTCAATTTCTTCGTTGGGTGACCTGATAATCGACTCCCGTTCCTTTAGAGGTCTATACAATGAAAGACCCATGTGCTGTACTTGATAACAAAAGTTACATTTCACCTACACACTTTTTTTTATAAAATAAAAGTCTGGTTTTATTAAGACAGCTTGGGACACCGGTCTCCATTTCCAGATGAAGACTGACGGGTTAAGTTGTTTAAAAACGTATCACATATGTTGAGTTAGTTGCTCGGCCGTAAGGTAAGGTATTTTATGGGATTTTAACACAAAATTAAGCAGTTTTATTCTCTAAAATATTATCGGGATTGGCCCTTTAAACCCCTAGGCCCTAACCCTGAATTTATAGTTTTTTTAAAATCTTAAATACCTGACCCTAAAATAAAAAGTGATGGAAATAGAAAAGGGAGTCGGATCGAACATGATCGCGGAATTTTCACATAGATTCCCTTAATTGAAGCCGAAGGTCTGTGTGTATTGTAATGATAATTGTACAATACAATGTATACTGATCGAAACCTGATCTGATCAATTTCCTTTCAAATTATAAAGGAACCTACCTCAGATCTGTATTCAACGTTTATGTTGGAAGTTGTGTTTATGACTACTATCTCTGACAATTTGACAAAAGTCAAGTGTAACATACTGTCATAGCGCAAAGTCAACGACGATTTTTCTTCCTCTTCCCAGTTTTTTTATTCCTATTTTTTTATTTGGTGGGAAAAGTGGAGCGGGTGTTTTATTTAACTTCCCTTTTCTTGCTTAAACACTGTAAAAGCAAATAACTAAATGGCCGCAGTCGACTTCCACCGGTTATATAACAATTTGAACTTTAGTAAGTTGACTGGCCGATTTCATTTTGTAATGTCAAAAAAGTAAACAATCATCAACATCGTTCGTTGTCGAAAAGTCGACTTTGATCATTTCTGTGGTTATTTTCTTATACTCACCCCAATGGATCGTAATTCAGGCATCCAATTAAAAGTCTGTTAATTCAAATCGAACCACAAGCGTCTAAAAATAGGTTGGTAAAATTAGAAGCCAGTTAGCCGCAAACTATTTTCGTCTTTCAACTCAAGCTGTCAAGAGTCCGCCATGTTTGTTTTTAGTTAGACGCATGCGCAGAAATATCAGTCCAGATTATCACGCCAACATTTTATTGCTAAACTTCATAGCGAGTTGATAATGTGATAATCTAGACAAAATGCATGTGTCAAAATGTCAATTTCTGTCACGACATCGCAGGCCAGTGGTGTTAGACGAATTTTTTGTTTATTCTACGTAAGGGTTTTGAAAACCTGGAAAACACTACTTCTCTTTAAAAACCAAAAGCCCAAAATATATATTCAATCCGTTTACCCCAATAGAAGTTGAAAAATAAAGTAGATTGATATTTATAGCCGAATGGCTTTATTTAATATCACTGCCTCGAAGTGAAGCATTTTGCGCTATCTTAATGCCCCTTTTTATACGTCCACATTCATAATGTGAACGTATTATGCCGTCGCCCCTGTCTGTGTGTGTGTGTGTGTGTATGTATGTATGTGTGTGTGTGTGTGTGTGTGTGTGTGTGTGTGTGTGTCTGTGGTTCGCCTACAGGGCGCAATTCTTCATGGATTTTCTTCAAACTTGGTATACTTATTCCTTATACCCCAAGGAAGATCCCTATTGTTTTTGGTGCATGCCCGACCCCCCGGGGCAGAGCCACGCCCATTTCTAGTATTTGTTTGTTTGTCGTCTACAGGCCACATTTCTTAACTAATAATCTTGAAACTTTGCATACACATTCTTTGTACCCTAAGGAACATCCCTATCGTTTTGGGTGCATGCCCAACCCCCAGGGGCAGAGCCACGCCCATTTTCTTTTCGTGTGTCTTTGTGTCGCCTACAGGGCGCAATTCTTACTGGATTTTCTTCAAACTTGGTATACTTATTCCTTATACCCCAAGGAAGATCCCTATTGTTTTTGGTGCATGCCCGACCCCCAGGGGCAGAGCCACGCCCATTTCTAGTATTTGTTTGTTTGTCGTCTACAGGCCACATTTCTTAACTTATAATCTTGCATACACATTCTTTGTACCCTAAGGAACATCCCTATCGTTTGGGGTACATGCCCAACCCCCAGGGGCAGAGCCACGCCCATTTCCCATTTTCTTTTCGTGTGTCTTTGTGTCGCCTACAGGGCGCAATTCTTACTGGATTTTCTTCAAACTTGGTATACTTATTCCTTATACCCCAAGGAAGATCCCTATTGTTTTTGGTGCATGCCCGACCCCCAGGGGCAGAGCCACGCCCATTTCTAGTTTTAAAAAGTACCATATCAATCAAAGCAGGAATGTGGACGTATATTGCAGCGGTAGCGATGCTCTTGTTTTTCTTTGTCGGACGATTTGCCTAAAAACAAAAACAAAAAAACCCCAAAACAAATGGGGGAAGGGAATAATGAAAACGATTTAATCATCAGTAAAATTGCAAAAGTAAGACCACAAAATCGAGCTAAATGGAAAATAAATCATTTGATAAACGATATTTGACGGGCACTTTTTGGGCATTTAGATCTAATCATAATCGTAGGTACATGGAGACAGGATCGCCCTATAGTTATGGTGCACCTATGTGATTTTTAAAAATTTTGATTTTTTTTGTGTTTTTTTCTTCATATTTTTAAAAAAATTAATTAAACCTTCTCTATTTTCCTTCCTATACTTTTTATTATCAAGCATGTTCGTATTAATAAAAATACACTCGGATGTATAATAAAGGAGAAAGATAAGACGCTTTTCTGTTGACATTTTTTTCTCCGTGAGGTAAATCACATAGGTGCACCATAGGGGCGTTCCTGAACCTATGTACCTGGGTTAGTGTTAAATGATCTATTTGGTAAGGCCAGCTCAATTTTTCGTCATAGGTCACGTGATGTAAATAAGGCTTGCGCAAATCCCAACCCTAACCCTGGACCTAGCCTAATGCTTACCCTAACCCTAACCCTAACCTACAATCTCGCCAACAATAACATGTCCTAATTAACCCTATTTACATCTCAGCGACCTTGTCGAAAATTGAGTTGGCCTTAACAAATAGATTTAGCCCATGTACCTGTGATAATAATAGGCTAAACAGAAAGAAAACTATAGAAATAAGTGATATAATATAACACCAAGTAAAAGATTTATATTAATGATAAAATACAGCCGAAATTCTCTCCAGTGGTGTTTCGTATGGAGGCGCGGAAATGAAATGAAATGAAATGGGGTTTAACGTCCTACTGTTCTGCTCCTAACCTGGGCTAATGAAGACGGGCATACGCCATACAGTGTGCTATGAGGGAAATTTTGCCCGGGCAGCGGCGCTACGGCCTACTCTTATATCGAATTCCAATTGACAAGGGATCTTTTACGTGCACGCCAATGTGTACACGGGACCTCGGTTTTCCGTCCCATCCGAACGACTAGACAGCTGTCCTTGTCAGGCCCTCCATCCTGCATCACTGACAAGGAGAAACCATGCCGGAAAATCTGGATGAACTTTCTGGCCAATGCAGGGATCGAACACCCGACCTCCAGGCTAGCGAGCCAGCGTCTTACCCACTTAGCCACGTGATCCCCGTGGAGGCTCAGTGAGTAAGATGTCGATGCGATAGCCTGGAGGTCTAGTGTTCGATCCCGATGTTGGCCGAAGAAGTTAATCGGGATTTTCAGAAGTGGTTCTAACCCCTTTCAGTGGTGCAGGTCGTTCGGATGGGACAAAAAACCGAAGTGCACGTAAAAGAACCTTTGGCAGTCGGAATTGGAAATAAGAGAAGGCCGTATATACATGTAGTGCCGTGGCAGGCCAAAATTTCCCTCATAGCACATAAAATATATGGCGTGTGCCCGTCTTCATTAATCCAGTTGGAGCAGAACAGAAGGACGTTAAACCCCATTTCATTTCACAGTGTTTAATAACCACAAGGAAAATGCAGCGAGGAAGTGGAGTTACGTGATAAAGCAATTCTCGATTTTACAACCAAATTTCAGATTTAGAATAAACGAAATGAAATGGTGTTTAACGTCCCAATTTTCTGCACCACCCGGGATACTAAAGACAGACATGTACCGTGCAAGGTGGGTTAGGTCTATTTGATAAGGCCAACTTCAAGTTTGGTCAAAGGTCACGAGATGTAAACAGGGCTAGCGCTAATGCTTACCCTAACCCTAACCTACAATCTCGCCAACAATCACGTGCCCTAACCTTATTTACATCTCAGCGACCTTGACGCAAATTGAACCGGCCTTAACAAATAGATATAGCCGTGCAGGGTGTGCTATGTGGGACTTGAACCAACAGACGAATAGGTGAAATCAAATTAAATTTAGAAATGTATACACTAGGAATGTAAATAAATGTATCGCTCGGATAACGTTATCGTGAAACTATTTATTTTGCTTAGAAACGATGTTCGCTGCGCGTTTTCCCCGGTTGTACGTGACAAGGAGTAGGGTCGTCTGTCCAACATCGTCATGGGTTTTCTTCGGGTCCCCCGGTTTCCTGCCATTGCTAAAGACCCCTACGCGCACGCGAATTTTTTAAATAAAATTGAACCATGTGTTAGTCCCGAAATGACCTAATTTGTGTTGAGTGGATGTTGTCGAGAGAGAGAGAGAGAGAGAGAGAGAGGGTCTCTCGATAGAATCTCTCTCGACGCGCGCTAATAACGAAATAAGTAATAAGTAAAGAAATTCCCTTTCACCGAGTTTATTAGATTTATAGCGAGAATTGACAAACATGCACTCTAGTTATTACATACAAATGGGATTATATGTCATAAATACATATATACAAAAGAAAATCAGTCATGCAGAACGGTTATTAAAGGTTGTGCTGATGACGCACTCTTTTGACCCATATTATTGTTAAAGGGGAAATACCATTTTCTTCAATACACACAATAACTTCTGTCCAAAAGGTATTATTCAATCCGACGAATTCTAATAGTAAATGCAGGGGGACTGCACCACACATAATTTACACAAAAAAAAATATACGGACAAGACATATTACGCAGAAATCTCAAACAAACGCACAATTCAAATAAAGTGAATGGATCAGGGGGCTAGCCGTAAGCGTCCACTGCCCTTAGAGACGTTCTCTACTTTGGCACCTAGAAATGGACACAAATGGGTCGCAACGCATTTAATAATATAATATGAATGTATTATAAGCTGATTTACATGCAATAGTTTCTGTTTTTACTGTAATGTCTAATCAGTACAAATTGAACGGCTGTCTTTCGCATCTGGTTATTCCAGTCTACACTGTGGCCAGTGTGGGATATGTTTAACCTGGTTCATCGAGTCGCTTCATTATAAATGGCACTCGAAAGCATTCTGGCACGTAATTCGTGTGTCAATTTTACAATTTTCACTTTGTCGGGAATATTGGATATGAGAAGCCCATTATTTCGTAATAAAATGACATCATTGTTGATTTAAATTGGCCCATAAGTCGTGTTTGCAATATCAAAGACTACGGATGATTCTGAGTTAAAGACTTGCCTTCTGTAAACTTATACAATATTGTAACTTATATGACAGGCCTGGCGGAGTGCGCGTGTGTGTGTGGGCGGGGAGAGGGGCTTTAGCAAGTACTCTTTTCTCCAGGTTATTGCACTCAAGTAACTATTCAATAAAACAAGAGGCTTGATTTTAACATGGATGTGAGTAGAAGTGAGACTTCTAGAATGTAAACTTTCAGAAGAAGAAAACCCTGATGCTCTATACTGATCCCTGGGTTAAGAGACCCACGGTTGCGAGGGTCGCGATTAGATAACTGAATAGCAGATCTCTATTTCAAGTCTGTTGTATCTATGACGTGTTAGGCAATAAGAAAAACGACGGGACAGAGTTTTATTTATAAATCTTCCTTGTGTCCCTTATCAATGAAATAATTCACTGCTATCCGTTATGATCAGTTAAAACAAGCGGTTGCCATGCAAGATATATCCCCATTTTGCAAGAATTGATGGGGAAGAGGTAAAATCAATAAGGCGTATCCTCTCATTCAAAATCCTTTGATCTTTAAAGCGAGAATTTCATATTTTCTAAGAAAGTTAAAATATAATT